CCCCACCACCAACTCTTCTTCCCTCTTCGCCTCCTTCCAGCTCGAAATCGAGAACAAGAACCGCCAAATCGGCATCTACCATGACGAAATCGCGCTAACCCTCCTCGCCGGCCCCAATCTCTCCTCCCCACTCTCCCACTTTGTTGTCCCCGCCTTCTATCAAGGCCATCTCAAGACGGCCGAGAAGCCCGGTAACTTCAGCGGCATCTCCGGCTGGAATCGGACGCGGCTCGCCGGAGAGTCGGTGTTCCATGTTTTGGCGAATTCGGCGTTCCGTTTCAAGGTGCTGGGATGGAAGAGTCGGCACCATGCGGTGAGCGTTGCCGGCGATGTGGAGGTTGATGCTGACGGTAAGAAGACCGCGACGAAGGGTATACGATTGTCGTCTTCCGCCGCTGTGGTTGCTCCGGTTGTTCCGAGTACCTTTTTCCTTTATGCTTTGCTGATATTGACGTGATGCTTTAGGATTGGGCGGTTGAAATTGAATCACAGCAGCTTTGTTTATAGCTTTTGTAAAAAGAAAAAAACGTAATTATTTTTTTAAATGCTTTGATGCCCAATCTATATAATATTAAAAAAATATGGAGAGAGAGTGAGAGAGAGATCTTTGTAAATTATTTTTTAGAATGGTTAACTTTTATGAATTGAGATTTTATTTGAAATATTTTGGTCATTTAAGTAAAATTCAAATTGAGAATGTTGTTTAGTTGACTCCGAAGCGAAGAAGACCAAAGGCCAACCCGCAACGCTGCAAAGCAGATCATTGACGCCAATAACATGTCGCCACGTGCTATTACTCTTTACCGCACGGCCCGACGACTTGACCCGGACCGGAACCCGGGAATACTATGTTCGCGATTTTCTCGGTATTGATCGGTATTTGCTCGGTATTGCTTTGCAAAAACGAGAAATACCGCTCTGTGAAGACCAAAACCATGCAAATACCGAGTTGTACCGAGTTTTTCTACAACTCGGTACAACTCGGTGCAATTTGGTATTTGCTCAAGATTTTCTCAGTATTGCTAGGGATTTGCTCGGTATTGTTAGGTATTTTCTCGGTATTGCTAGAAAAAACTCGGTACAACTCGGTACAACTCAGTATTTGCTCAGGATTTGCTCGATATTGAGAGCAATTCGCTCGGTATTGCTAGGAATTTACTCGGTATTGCTAGAAAAAACTAGGTACAACTCGGTATCTGCTCGGTATTGCTAGATATTTGAAATATATCCAAAAGGTGATGAGATGTTGTTCGGCTCGTCAAGGATTTAAAAAAACGCACATGCGAGAACCTGACTTTTCTTCATGCTACGTGGCGCTAAAACATTGGTGGCCGAACATAAAGGAGCGTACGTTCATCGGACCGAATAAAAGTTCGAGAGAGAGAGATCTTTGTAAATTATTTTTTAGAATGGTTAACTTTTATGAATTGAGATTTAATTTGAAATATTTAGGTCATTTAAGTAAAATTCAAATTGAGAATGTTGTTTAGTTGACTCCGAAGCGAAGAAGACCAAAGGCCAACCCGCAACGCTGCAAAGCAGATCATTGATGATGAGAAAACAATACAAAGGAACCTTCCCGCTGGAAGTGGAAGACTTGGACTCCGAAGTACTGTAAATCACAGGTTGGCCTGCAACGCTATCAAGCACAGGGGATGGTAAGTAAAAAGTCGCTCTCAACCCTACATGGCCATGAAAATGCATCGATCCTAGCTTTCTTCGAACCTTCCCGCTGTGCAATGTTATAAAGCAGATGTGATGGTAAGAAAATAGTCAGTCGCTCATCCTCTCCCCCCACCATATGGCCACGAAAATGCACCCAAGCTTCCTCTCGGTCTCGGCCATGAGAGCCAACGACATGGACCGCCTCTTTGCGCTACTCGAGGAAGACCGAACACGATTCTACGGCATGACCGTTAAAGGAAACACCATACTCCACATCGCCGCAAGCCTCGGCAACGGCTGGCTCATCGTCGAGGCGTACAATAACTCCGAATGGGACCTCCTGCTGCACCAGAACTTAAAAGGCGACACGATCCTCCACTGCGCGGCTCGTGCAGGGCACGACCGCATCCTATCATTGTTGATCGATCATGAAGAATTACGGCATATGACGGGAATGCAGAACCGGCGCGGGGATAGTGCTCTGCACGAAGCTGCACGCGGCGGCCATGCCAAAGTTGTCCGACAGCTTTTAGCTGTTGGAGAGAATATGGCCTCGATGATTAACGGAGATGGAGAGTCGCCACTTTATCTAGCAGCGGTGAGGGGCTCACTGGAGATTGTGGAAATGTTGCTCGGATGCGTGGTGGTGGATTATAGAGGACCTCGAGGGCAAACTGCTCTGCATGCTGCCGTCTGTCGAAGCTATGGTAACCGCCATGAAATTTCCATTTCTATATGATCAACACCTTTGTCAATCAAATTTTTTGAGAATATTTGCAGGATCAAATCACTAATATAAATTTATTTTTTTAAAAAATAAACGGTATGGAAACCTATAATCATTAGATCAAATAATAATAACATAAATGATTTGAGAAATATATGATAAATAAGAAAAAATAACATCCAATTATGCATACTTGTCAAGTTAATTAAGTAATTAGGAGAACTTGAGTCATATTCAACAAATCATCGAGTGTAAACTAACTTGATCGCCTATCACCCAAAAGTCACTTGAAATCACTCAAACCAACAAGCCACTCAAATTCAGATCTTATAAAATCACCCGAAAATCAACCTTACCTCAAGTTGATAATTTATTTTATCTAGTAATACAAACTTTTTTTTTTCCAGCTGAAACTGAGAATTTGACTTGAAATTAGATTGAAAAGAACATCCTTAAGTACAAGCTAATAAGAAAAAGCTTTCAAGTTCTTCCGATATTGCGGAGATGGGCAAACAAACTAAATGCCAAATATTTATCTATTTTTGTATGCTGTGATAGCTAATTGCTGTAAAGTCTTCAGATGCTGTGAAGATGTTACTCGACAAAATGCCGGAACTAAACCTAAAAATGGATAACTCCCTAAGCTCCCCCATTCACTATGCCGCTTCCCTTGGAGATGTAAACATGGTGCGTCTTCTGCTACAAGCGGACGCTACAATAGCTCATCTCTTGGACGACCATGGCCTCTCAGCCATACACATCGCAGCAAGCAAGGACTATGCCAATGTTATTGATGAGATACTCCACCGTTGCCCTGATGCCAATGAGCTCACTGATATTAATGGCAACAATTTTATTCATGTTGCCGCAAAGAAGAGAGCGACAACAGTGGTGAAACAAGTTCTTAGTAATCCTTTGCTCAGACAGAGCACAAATGAGATAAATCATCAGGGAAACACACCATTACATCTGGCTGCAATGAACTGCAACCGGGAAATCGTCCACCTTCTGTTGTCATATAGCAGAGTCGACACAAATGTTATAAACCGCAAGGGTCTCACTCCCCTTGATATAGCCTCATCGTGTGCTAACTCCAATATTCGCCTCAGGATGGTACGTATAACTTCATATCAACAATGAATTCTTTCTAGCAAAAGAAGATGAAACCTTTAGCGACAAATCAAACTCTTTATAATGGAACTATTTTAAATATTCATTTGCAGAAGAATATGTGTGAAGAATTGACCTCTGCTGGTTCCAAGTTTGGTGCTCACCGAATGGACATCTTGATGGGTAAGGATCAACGAAGACCAGAAGAAGAGCTTAACCGATATAGAACACTGGCAAGTAACATGGCAATAGTGGCAGTACTCATTACAACAGTTACATTTGCAGCTGCTTTTACCTTGCCTGGAGGTTACATCAATGATGACAGTTACCAGGAAGAAGGCATGGCGATTCTTGCCAAGAAGTTAGCTTTCAAGCTGTTTCTTATCTCTGACACCATTTCAATGCTAAGCTCTATTTGCGTTACCTGCTTGTTAATTTGCTCTAGTTCTCTAGATCATGACATAAGATTGCACTCCATCATGACGGCCATGAAGTTCATGTGGGTTGCACTAGGAGGGATGTTGGTAGCGTTCTCCATGGGAATCTATGTGGTCTTGGTCTCAAAATGCAGATGGTTGGCTATTTTTATTTGTGGAATGGTTGCTTGCGTTCCCTTCATGGCTTGTAAGACAGCTTTTTTGCCAACTTTTGGTTTTATTAAGCTGGTGCTGAATGACAGAAATCAAACGAGCATAAAAATAGAAACTTCAATCTTCAAGGTTAACATGCACATGCCCCATTGGATGGTGGTTGATTTTGTCACACCTGCTAGTTCAGCAAAATGTGGGGAACCTCCTCTATAGTATATTTTCACAGAGAATTCTTTCTGGGACTTTAAATTCCATCTATATGAACTTATTAAGAAACCGGAAAAAAGAGCAGGAAAAGCAGGCGCTGAACTCGGTTTTCATGATTTATTATTATTATTATTATTTTGGATATGATGTCTTATTTGTTGATTTGGAATTGTTTTCGAAATCAAATCAGATTTATTTTGAACGATTTGAAATTCAATTGATATATTATTTAGAGAATTTATTATTTCTCTAAATTGTAGATTTGATTGTGATTTGATTAGGGATTAGGTTTCGAAGTTTTTTTCTTAGTTTAGTTTATCTCAAAACTATAAAATAGAGTACATGGGACTTTTGTTGTATGTAAGAGAGAGAGAGCTTGAGAGCTATTGTAATTCTCTTGTTCTCAAATTTAGTGAAATCATTCTATTCCCCTCTCTATGGATGCAGGCATCTTTATAGAATTATGTAAATCATTGTATTTATTATATTTGTGTTGTGATTTTATTTTCATTGTGATTATTTGCACAACATTATTAGGATCTTTGATTTACATTGATGGTCTTCTCATGATCCCTAGAATCTAAAGATGACATCAATGAACTATAAGGAATCATCTTGACGGAGGAATTGATGATTCAAGAAGGGCCAGCTACCTGTTACTTTTTCTCTAGCCCAACGAACAATCTTCTCAGGTACCTTAATTATCTATAAACTGTACAATAATAAATTAGTATTATGCAACCAGGGTCATATACCCATGTTCATATATAATAAAATGAAAATGCTTAGCTTATTTGCTTGGGCCTATTAGAGGTCTCTGTGAGGACAGAGGAAGATTATGAGGATCGGAGCAGAGCGAGGTGAGGAAGAAGAGAAAAGTAAAATTAATCTTATTCAGTCTATCACTTATTACAGAGATTAGATGTATATATAGAGATACATGTGTACAATTGTAAATAATATAAGATACATATTGAGCTATACAGACATGTTCGTCTCACATCCACCCTCAAACTAAGCTTCCGGTCCACGGACGGTAAGTTTGGAACGAAGATAGTTGAAACGAGGACTAGAAAATGGTTTGGTGAAGACGTCTGCTATTTGCTGTTGAGAAGTAATATGCTGAATGTGAATGTTGCCGTCGTGAATATGCTGACGAATGAACTGGTAGTCAATTTCGATGTGTTTGGTTCTGGCATGGAAAACAGAATTCTTGGCGATGGCGATTGCGGAGATGTTGTCACAATGGATAGTCGTCGGAGCTGTTTGGAGTAGCTGCAGTTCGTCAGCGAGCCTCCGAAGCCAAATCGCTTCAGAAGTAGCAGCTGACAATGCACGGTATTCGGCCTCTGTTGATGATTTTGCGACCGTTATTTGCTTTTTAACGGACCAAGAAATTAGATTGGGTCCTATAAACGAGCAATGACCAGTGATAGATTTCCTGTCAGTTGTATCCGATGCCCAGTCCGCATCAGTATATGTTTGAAGTTGCTGGTCGCCAGGTTGAATGGGAAGACCGAGTTGTGCGGTTCCTTTGATGTACTGGAGGATCCGCTTGAGGTTCTTAAAGTCTTGTTCCGTTGGTTGATGCATTCGCTGGCAGGCTTGATTGGTGGAAAATGCTATATCCGGTCTAGTGATAGTTAGGTACTGGAGAGACCCGGCAAGGCGCCGGTAAAGAGAGGGATCGTGAAACGGAGGTGAGTCGGACTGAGTTTTGGATATCGCAGGAACAATCGGTGTCTGAGCATTCTTGCACTGATCAAATCCAGCGTCATGGATGAGTTTATTGGCATAGTGTTCCTGCGTCAAGAAGTATCCTTGCTGTGTATGAAGAACCTTGATGCCGAGGAATAAGGAGATGATTCCCAACTGTTTTAGCGCGAACTCAGTGTGTAGCGCGCGAAGGAGTTGCTGAATGCTGTCGGAATTGTTACCTGTCACAAGAATGTCGTCGACATAGACTAAGAGAAAGATTTAAATATTATTTTTGGAGTAAAGGAGAAGCGAGGAATCAGAACGACTAAACCTGAAGCCGCGTTGTAGAAGAAAGTTGGTGAATTTCTGGAACCATTGACGAGGGGCCTGCTTCAAACCGTATAGAGATTTCTGTAGTTTGCAAACGTGGTGTGGATGCCGCGGATCCTCAAAGCCTTGAGGTTGGCGCATATAGATGTCATCTGGAAGATCGCCATGAAGGAAGGCATTGGTGACATCGAGTTGGAGGACTTCTCATTTTCGGTTGACAGCTAGCGTGAGAAGCATACGGAATGTAGTCATCTTAGCGACTGGACTGAAGGTTTCGGTGTAATTTTTGCCGAACCGTTGGTCATAGCCGAGAGCGACTAACCGAGCTTTGTAACGGTCTATTTGGCCGGATGGGAGGATTTTGATCTTGTAAGTCCATTTGCACCAAAGAGGATGTTTGTTTGGTGGAAGCGGTACCAATGTCCAGGTGTTTTGTCGGATAAGCGCATTGTACTCAGTCTGCATTGCCTGGTTCCATTGATCGTGCTGAGCTGCTTTTCTGTATGAAGTCGGAGTGACCCGATCGTTATCCTGACTGAGTAATGTGAAGATTTGCTTCGGTTTGTAGATACCAGATTTGGATCTGGTTTGCATCTGATGTGGTTGAGGTGGAGCTAAGTCAGTCGAAATCGGGACAGAAGTCAGAGGGGAAGGGTGATCCGGTGTAGCATTGGTGATGGAAGTTTGAGTGGGAACAGAGTTAGTGATGACATTGTCGGGTTTGGGAGAAGCTTGATTGCGAAGGGTTGAGGTAGGTACGAGAATTAAGGGCTTGGTTTGAGAGGAGTCAGAGCTAGCCAGTGGAGTGGTGGTAGTATGGGATTTGGAATAAGGAAAAATGTGTTCTTGAAAATCCACGTGTCTTGTAACATGCAGTTTATTGGAGTGAAGGTTGCAGCACTTGTATCCTTTGTGACGCGAGGAATAGCCAATGAAGACGGAGGGTTGGGATCTAGGCGAGAGTTTAGTAGTAGTGTACGGTTGGAGCCAGGGGTAGCACAAGCATCCGAAGATGCGAAGGTGGGCGAGAGAAGGGATTTTCTTGTATAGACGTTCATAAGGGGAATGTACACCGAGAGATTTAGAAGGCAGTCTGTTGATGAGGTAATTTGCCGTGTCCGTGGTGTCCGCCCAAAAGGTATCCGGGAGATTGGAAGCATGAAGGAGAGTTCTTGTTTGGTTCAAGAGATGCCGATGTTTATGTTCGGCTAAGCCATTTTGTTCCGGAGTATGTGGGCAGGACATTTGGTGTATGATGCCGTGATCCTGAAGGTAAGAGGTGAAAGCCGAGCTAGTGTATTCGCCGCCCCCGTCGGAGCGGAAAATTTTAGGGGTAGTTTGAAATTGATTTTGAATTAAACTGCAAAGCATTTTGAACTTGTTTAATGTTTCAGCTTTCGTAGACATGAAATAAATCCATGAAAATCTTGTAAAATCATCTATAAAAATGGCGAAGTAGCGAAAACCAAATAGAGAGGTCGTAGGAGACGGTCCCCATACATCCGAATGAATGAGTTCAAATGGATGTGTGGTGACCGAAACATGTCTGCTAAAAGGCTGTTTATGGCTTTTGGCCATAGTACAGGAATTACAATGAAAAGAGAAAGAAACATTCGTAATATCGGTAGAATTGTTCGCTAGATGCCTGAACGTCTGATGGTTCGGATGGCCGAGTCTTGCATGCCAGGTGAGTGAGGAAGCCGTTGTCGTTTGCAAAGCTATCGGGTTGGTGGATGGCGGAACGTCGAGCTGGTAGAGACCGTTATGGAGATGGCCACGAAGGAGAGGTCGGCTGTCCTGTATATCCTTAATAGTGAAGCCATTAGAATCAAACGTAATAGCGATGTTGTTATCCTTAGTGAGCTTAGAGACAGATAAAAGGTTGTGAGTTAAATGTGGTACATGAAGAAGGCGAAGAAGATGAAGCTTACGGGGCGTATCAGGGAGAGGTAGCAAACCTTGACCGTAGTTATGAATGGGTAGGGAAGATCCATTCGCTACGGTAACGGAGTCGGAGCCGGTATAAGGAGCCGATTGATGAAGACTGGCATTGTCATGTGTTATGTGATTCGTCGCACCGGAATAAAGGATCCAGCTCTGTTGAGGCGTGGGTTGAGCAAGAAGAGAACGCGGAGCATTTTGAACTGTTGGAGCATATTTGTAGTTGTTTATGTGCCAGCAATTTAAGGCAATATGACCGATCTTGCCGCAGATTTGGCAAGTGGGTCGGTCATTAGAGACGGGATTGGTGATGGATTTGGTGTCGGGTTGATGAGACGCGGGAATTTTGTTCCTGAAGGAACGTTTAGAGTTCCTGTACTTTTGCTGATTGGAAGAGGCGACGTACAGTGCTGCAGTGGAGTTGTGAAGAGATTGTTCCTTCTTGATTTCATTGTTTATGTGTATCTCTTCGCTGCACAGCTGGGAGTAGAACTTGTCAAGATCCGCTGGTGAAGAAGATGTTCGAATTGCGGTCTTGAAAGCGTTGTAGGAGGCTGGTAGACCATTCAGAGTGTACAGAATGATGTCTTCTTGGTCGATTTGAGATCCCGCTGAGGCAATATTATCGACGATGTTCTTGATTGTGGAAAGATACTGCTGCATTGTTTGATTGTTCATTTGAACTTGATGTAATTCGTTCTTGAGTTGGATCACTCGAGAACGGCAGGTCGACTGAAGTCGACGTTCGAGTATCTCCCAGACTTCTTGTGTTGAAGCAGCGGTGATGACATATGGGAGGAGCGTCGGAGAAATTACCGAGAAGAGAGCGGAAATCAAATTGCTGTCGATGAGACTCCAGCGGGCGTAATCTTGCGAGGTCCTGTCGGCCGGAGGAGCGATCTTGCCTGTGAGGAAGTCGACATAGCCGTTAGCCGTGAGGTTTTGCTGAATCTGAATCTTCCAGATTGCGTAATTATCTACGGTGAGGTGATGGGGGATCAAGTTCTTGAAATTCGAGATTATGAACTTGAGAGAGG